AATGAGTTGCCACACCACGAAACGACTGTTCAGTGCAAGAAATTCATCGTATCCGTTATCTTATTGTTAACAGTGAGATAATCTTCAATGTTCCCATTTACTTACAAGAAGGGAGAAGGAGGAAGCAAGTGCGATCTATGACACATCATGCATAAAATCACATCCGTGCTGTCGTTTTTAACACCATTCAAGGCCCGTGACTTTCCTTGAGTCGACATGACATCGCAAGGAAACGCGAACATGGCCACGAACTGTCGATCAGTCCAAACATACAAACATCTGACCTTGACCATGGAATTCTATTTTTCCTCGCAATATGGTATCTGGTTGATCAAAGTGGAACGTTCCCCTGGGTGAACACACCTCATTCAAGTGTTATTCATAAATGTTTCATACTTGATCAATATCATCGTGGAGGAATGAGTTCAAATTCCGCATCTGAACCTCTGGTTAAATCGGTTACCTCACATCGGCCACAAGATCAGCAGACAGATCCATAACTCACAGCTTGCAATACCAAAACTGTACGATTGACTGTAGAGAATAGATATGACATGTACACATTAAAGTGAATTTCTTTAAGGAGTTATGCATGGAACAACATCTGAACTAATGACAATAAGAAATAATCAATATATATGATAAAACCATTTTTGAAAATTAGAAATTCACCTTCTGATTAATATTCACTGAGTTATTTCAGAATCATTGAATTGGGACGATGTACCACATTAAACTGGAGGTTGGTCGTATTTTTTTTATTAAAAACTGGTATGTAAATATAATAGATATGTGAACTCTATTCAGCGAGATGAACGTGGAACTGACTGAGCTGATTTCAAAACTGATTGAATTCTTGAACTGATTTCAAATACCTGATTCATCAATAGGATTGAAATGATAGCGACTATTAATTTCAGCGATTTTTTTCACGGTTCACACATCAGTAGAATTATTTGTTCGACGAATTGCCTCACTGTTTCTTGATTTCTTCCATCAGTGTTGACAACTTTTTCGAATCAATCTTTATTAGATTATCTATTGTCAAATGACGATTTCTCGTCATCAATTAGTGTCCAATGACATCTCATCAATCGTCGAATTGCGCTATTGATACGAAAATTGCCGAGTTTCGATGATTTTTTGTTCGTCAATTTGCGAATTCAACCAATTTTTTCGTCTCGCTAATTATTACCTTCTGGTTTTGTTGCAGTCTGGTTAACGTGCTCTCGTTTGCTTCATCACCGATTCGGAATTTATGCATTCACTCTTCACGAGTATTTAATGATAATATTTTCGATTGATGATTATGTCATGTGACATAATTCGAAGAAAACACTCTGAAGGCGTTTCAGCAGCGAATTTTGATCGTCAGCCGATTAAAAATGATTGTTATAATTCGTGTGTTTAGCTAAGATAAATGGGCCGTATCCAGATAGAGATGAGATCATTTTTTACGTCTCACAGTTAGTTGTTTGCTTGATGCGTTTTGAGATGAGCGAATATCAGTGAGATTCTCCGTTCTTACGTTTCAGAAGTGTTCCAGTGTCTAATTTTCTGTGGAATTCTACTGCAGTGTAACTGGCGATGTTGCGACTTTGGTCACTAGTCCTCGTGTTATTATTGGCTGAAGCAGTGGCACCAGCAATTATCAGGAGATCGATCAGTAATGCAGTGCGAACATATAAGTAAGTGATGTCAGTGTTTGTAAAGGATCATCAGATTCGAATTCTGATCGTGAGATTTATGTGGCGTGAGTTTTGGGTTCAGTAAAAAATAGAACTGTACGGGATTTCGGTAATATCCTCATCTTGAGCTCACGTCAATTATTCCATCTTCGCGCACATTCATCATCCAAGCGTCAATGAAAGGACGAATCGCTATATTACTTTCTGTCACATTGCAATCAGCCAACTGTCACTTGTGAACGAATGATCACCACATAGGTCAGCTTAGATACTGAGCTAACCTTCGGCTTCATGGATGTTCAAGCGCATCCATTCGATTTGCTCATGTGGTGAAATTCCAGGCCACGGATTAAACGACAATTCGACCTAGTGTTCAGCGATCCATATGGAGGACCGATGCAGCTGACCGGTTTTGGTTTCGATGGTATGATTTTCGACCCAAGCATGATGATGCCTGGATCTTATACGCCGATGGCTGATATCTTCCAGTTGAACTTATAAACTCTGATGACAATGATAGAGGGAGGATGATGCCAAAAGATAGATGAACATAACATCGGATCCGATTCAGCTGGTGTTTCGTTTTTGTCGTAAATTGCTTCATCAGCTGCACTCCATCACATGAATGCGATTCGAGTCGTTGCTGCTGAAAATTGCTTATTGCTTACGTATGTATCAGTTCTACGCACTTGAAACTATCATGTCTTCCATCAGAAAATCTCATCAAAAGCAAGGAAATCGTTACGTTGCAACGCTTCAAGAATTCTGATTCAGCGTTTTGTTTACATAAAATCCTTAATTTTTTAAATGCTGACTATTGAACTCGAATCGTTTTCAACAATATGTTTAGTATTTTCCGGCATTTTCTCTTCATCAGTGTTTGACAGAATTCAAAAAATTGGTTTGTGCCGAACGTGAGTCGAGTTCGATGGAACGATTCATCCAAAATTTCAACACTCATTACCATCGTCCACTGTAATAGACAATCGTTTGTCGAATTAAATGATCACTCATTCATTTATTTGTTTGTATTATATTGTACAATATTATTTATATTGTTTTTTTCGCATTTCGACATGTGGATAATATATTATTTTGCTTTCGCAATTGCATGAAACTCGTTTATCTCATTACTATGACCAATAAAGAAATGTACTTACATGAAGTGTTCGATTGTCTTAAATTGCTATTACAATAACGTTTCAAGAGAACTTTTCATCGTTTTTATCAGAATCGAATCAATACAAGTATTTATAAAGATGGGAAGTTAAATTTTAAAAAATTTATCGTGTTTGAAAATTCTATAATACTTTCTTGTCGTTTTGTGTTTTTGTGAGTTTTCAACGAAACTCCCGTAAATGGTCACACACAGTCTATAGTGGCAAATTTGTGGAGTGTTTTTATGCGTAACGTTCGGCATAAAAGTGATATTCGCTGTCATACCGCTATCACTCTTCAATTCTTCTCTTCAAGAACACTGTTTTTCTTGAGACCCCAATCTTATCTATTCGCTGTTGTTTTTCATTCATCTCCAGATAATTAATGGTAGTTTTTGTACGTTCCCATCATTTACGAGAAGAGGGGTTGTTTGAAACGATACACGTCCGTTGCAGAATTTCTTTCGATCATATCTAATCATGACGCTTCATATCTGTATTGTTCGATTTATATTGTTCCTTTGAACGTAGTTATTTCTAAAGCAGTAAAATCCTCAGAATCGGTTCTTAAGCCTCGAATGCTTGTTATTATACGCGAAGGCCTGACGTGACCAGATTCTTGAGACCCCCAATCTTATCTATTCGCTGTTGTTTTCGATTCATCTTCAGATAATTTTTCACGGACAAATGATCCAATTCATCCTTGCTTAAACGAAACGAATATTATGTCATAATCGCTAGAACTCTCCATCTCTCCGTGTGTGACAAAAAAATCTTACAGATTCAAAATGAGTAGCAACTCTGTGCGTATCGCTATTCATATTCTGATACTGATATCTCTATTAATAACTATCGCAGAGTGCACAATCAGCGATCATGAATCCAAAGTGTAAGTATTATAATAGTAACAAACGTCAAAGCGTAGTACCTCAATTGAATAATCATCCGAAAGACCGTAGTGATTGTCATGCTTCATTCAAACTAGATTTAAATCAGATCAACAACCCTTCTGCGTGACAGATTTAGCAACGCCTCGATGAGCCAGTTGAAAATCAAGTGATCACCTCCTCTGACGTGAGTTTACAGTTACCCTACGCCTGATATTGGCATCGAAGAAGACTGAAATATTATTATAGTTGGATGTGCGGCCCCAATGACTGAACTTTTGATACAATCACACATGCACAACAATCAGGTGCCCATCAATAAGAAATTCCTTTATTCAAATGATATTAGAGCAAAATTCAAGCAAAATCCAACCGATTGACTTGAAGTACCATAGTTAGCTATCTTTAACTGCACTCAGTTGATCTGTCATACTCGAATGATTTCTTCGTTATTAACTCAATCCTATCACAATTGCAGTCAACTTCGAGCGAAACGACAACTTCACTTTGTGTTCAGTAACTCTGATTATGGCTGGCGATGGACCGGAATTGGATGGGGTCCTTATGTATTCGACCCGTCGATGGCCGGAAGGTACACGAACAGTGCGAACATTTATACAATCAATTTTGCTGCAAGAAAACCCGCATAGTGTATTCATGTTACCCGTATGATTCGATTCATCTAACATACTGTAGTTTATCCCATTCGGGTCACAATTCTGTATTCAAACTTTTGATTGAATATGACGCGAAGAGTTTTAATTATGCGCAGTGAACATTCTATCAGTTGATAATAGTTTATCGCTGTGTTATTTAAACGTTCACATTTCATCGATTGTAACTCACCTGAAAATATGTATTAAAAACATCGCGAATTCATGAATAAAAGCACGAATTTTTCCTTCACGAATTGTGTCTCACAAAATGATCATGATTCAAGATAGTGTATTCTGGATTCTTCCTACGTTTTCTAAATTCGTTTTAAGATAATTCACCTAATCATTCATTTCTACACGACTGTCACGAGTGCAAAAAAAAACTTAATATATCTCACCACAAAAATTAATATATCTCCTCACAAAGTGGAAATTTTCAAGCC